ACTTCAGATCGGTTTGTCATTGTAATTAGCATTTATAACTTGAAGCTTTATTAGAGAAATAAAGTAATTGCTGATTAATAAATTTTATAATATTCGTTTACACCGTGAACTTATAACAATCTTGAATAATTTTACTATCAATAAATAAACTGCATTGATGTCCATTATGAAGTATATCTGTATATAAATGATACACAGTTACACAAACTATTGTTGTACTTGATCTCTTGGTTAGAGTAATAAATCTGAATATCAATTTATTCTTCATTGTTTATAAAAATATGCAAATTTGTAATACTTAATAGCCAGACCATAAGCGTATGAGATATAATTCTGAAAAAGCATGATAGAATAAAGCTTTAATATTTTTTAATATCTATAAAAATGCAGTGATTTATTAAAGTCTAAAGATATATTGTTTTCACAATTTCTTGTGATTAAAATTAACATACAATCATTGACTGCTTGTTTTTTTTTACTATCTCGCTGGCGATACAGTCTCATTCTTTGAGCAGCTGTAAGAACTGTCTTGCCTATGAAAATAATTTTAATTTTATTAACCTCAAAAATATATAGTAACCACCCTAGACAATATTAGAATACGATTATATTACGAATAATACAAATTACTTCAATAAACACGTTTTCACGACCAATCACAATCGACCCGTATACAAATGATATGATCGAGAGCGAATGACGAATCACTGGCACTCGACTCTGCCGTAACGCTTTTTCCATTGCATTTGTACGAATTTACACCCTAGTCGCGCCTAAAGAAGTTTTACTTCAAAAAATTTTAAACAATCAAAAACTTTTAATATGCATGATTCAAAATAAACTCGAAACATCAAATTTTTCGATGTTTTTGCCAAACTCCATATGAAAAATATATGTTTTCTCGCCCGCCCCAAAAACGTTCCGTAACAGTTTACGTCAGCAAGTTTCGTAATAACACGCACCGTCTAATAGATAATAGAATAACTGCAGGGTTGAGTTGTAATATGACGCCCGTTCAGGAGTCATCATCCCCGTTTGACGCTCATAGTCGTCGCCAAAGTGAATTAGAGATCCCGTACGACATATGGGTTCCCTTAGGACCCCATCTCGCGTTGCCCCACAAGCTCGGGAATGATTCGAGGCCCCGGGCGAATCGCGAACATAAACCCCAGTACTACGTCAAGTTTCCGGTTGCAAAACGTTTACTCTGCAACGCGCAAATTATGACCATAAATAAATTTGCATATTTTCAAATGTATAACCTAGAGCGACTGATAGATATTAGCACTTGTTGTGGATGCAATTGAATAATCAACGATGGTGATGTATATGCGTCGAATAAAAATTGAAAAATTACTAGTTTTGTTTCACAGTTTTTCTAGCGCAAGCGCTGTTTGCAAATTTAAAAAAACTGCGTCTCTGATTCGTTATGAGGCTATGCAAAAGTTACGAATACAAAAGTATAGTACATTTGTGTTATTCTAAAACGATTATAAAAAGTGATCAGTTTAATTCCTAGTAGATTTTTTTTTATATTTTTTAACAGAAATCAGAACCTTACGTCCTATGAGCTGTTGGTTCTCCTTACTTCGTATTTTTTAGATGGTAACCCAATGGTTAATAATCCATCCATATTTGATGATTTTTGTTATTAGAATTAATCTGATAGGGCTGACTTTTTATTGGTGTAACAATGCCGGACAAGGGCTATTTTCACTTGAAAACATATTGCTATCTATATTTCCAAGTGAATATCGTTGTCACTGCTGCCTGACAACAGGCTGCTCGAAGTGAGTATCGAACCCGGACCTCGGAAACAAGTTTCGTCGCTCTTAACCGCTTACCTACGGGCGAGCCCAATTCCTAGTAGATGCCCATGCTTTTGCATCAATAAAATAAGAATAAATATACTAAAATAAAATAAATCTATCACTATAATATAATCATAATAAGCACTATAATCATGATGTTTTATGTCGCTTGCTAATTTGTATGTGATTGTGTGATATAATGATCGTTGAACATTAAACCAAAATGCCAATTATTGAATGATAATGAATTATGATATAATTCCACATTAATTAGTACGCTTGTAACAAAATAAATTTTCAAAGCTGAATTTGCTGAAACACACAAGTAAAGTACTTTTTCTTTATGAAAATGAAAATGAAATGAAATATTTATCTTAATATTGTATTTAGGGCTT